AGAACTATGACCAACACCAGTTCTTGTCATTGGAGTGCCAAGAACGGTACTTTATTGAACTGATCTGGAAAAACTTGCTCTCGAAGAGTGGTATACTGTTGGACAACGTCCCGGAACGCCTTCTTGAGTTATATCAAAGGCTAGTAAACATGGGATGGGACTATTTTGCCCCTCAACCTTGCCGAGCCATTGAGCAATGGGTGAGGGAGTTTTATGCCAATCTCCCAGCTATCAGGCTAAGGAATCCAAAGATGAGAATTAGCGAAAAAATGGTGCACTTTGGGTCTACAACTATGAATCAAGTGTATCACCTTTCAGACCACGGCATGGCCCCATTCCATGCAAAAGACTGTGCCTCAGGGGAGTGGTTGTTGTCCAAATTATGCCCGAGTGCGAATGTTCCATGGGCAGCTGAGAAGAGAGGGATCACATCCAAAGAGTTCACTGCCGAAGCAAAGATATGGCTAGCCATCATATGCAGTCGTATCTCCCCTGTGTTAAATATATGGAATGTACCGGCTACAAAAGCTTAGATGATAGCCTAAATCCTGGATGGCATTCAGTTAAATGTTGGTGAAATCTTCATCAATGAACTGAGGGAGTATCGGATCAAGAATAGTACATCATTGATATTCACATTTCTTATCACTGAGTTGTGCCAACTTGCTGGGGTGGAAGAAGCTCCGGGAGACAGCTGGATAGAGTCGGGAAAGCCTCTAAATCCATTGAAGAAAAGAGGAGAGGGAGGCGCTGTGAAGAGCAAAAAAAGAAAGATGGGGTCTTCTTCTCAAATCGATCAGAGTAGCCAGCCATCATCTTCTGCAGGAGGACCATTTGTTGTGGTTACTGAGGAAATGCGGCTAATTCGCGACCTAGTAGCTGGCCTTCCACAGGGACCTTGTGAAATATCTGAGGGACCCGTTGTATACATTTCAAAGAAAGATTTTCAAAAGTATCTTGATGATTAGAGGAAGCAGGGAGATCACCTTAAGACACTGGAGAAGGCCTACACTGATCTGGCCATGGTGCATGGTATGTTGAGCAATTCTTATGACACTCTGGCAAAGGCACACACCAAGATGAAAAAAAAGGGAGAAAAAAAGAGAAAAATTCTTTACCCGCATGTGGAAGGGTGTGAAGGGGCTGTTGAAAGTCCTAAAGCCTCAAGACCCAATGCCATCGACCGAGCCGGAACACCATGATGATGCCCCAGTTGATTGGTCTGAGGAAGAAAGAGAGGAGGATGCCTCTAAGTCAGAAAGCGAGGAGAGCACCTAATGCAGTATTCAGGGAGCACTTTCCACCATTTTACTCTATCATGTTTAGTTGCGTTGGGGACATTGAAACATCTTTAGTTGGGGGTGGCTTCTTTTATAACTGTTGTTCTTGTATAATTATGGATAATTGTGAATATGGTAGAATTGGTACCTTGGTTGTTTTCATTTTGATGTTATTGTATTTTCATGTGATGTGTTATATTAGTATGTTTACTAGCTTCTCGAATTTATGTTTTTATATATATATTATGTTTTAGTGACTTGATGTTTACTAGCTTTTTAATTTTTGTTTGTTTATATAGTATGCTTTATTTTGGTGGTGATATCCTTGATTTTCTTTATACCATGGTTCTTTTTACGAGGATACCAATTTTCTTTTTGAACCGGGTAATTGTTAGTAAATTTTTGTCGACTTTTCCCGATGATGGATAGCTAGGCAACTTTCTTAAGGGAATTAGTATTGTAGTTTAGATATAGCTTATGTTCATTTAGGAAGAATAAGTGGTTTGAGTTGGGGTTTGTTCCCATTGACCAAGTTGTGGCTTGCTTGGTACCAACATGATTTAAACCTCGGCATATGAATTTTTGGTCATTGAAAAAGAAAAATAATTTAAGTAAAGATGTCATGTCTTTTAGACTCAAATTTTGGCTCTTTGATTCACTAACTAGCTTCATATGCTATATGTAACCTCTTTGAGTCATTGATTTCAATTGGAATTTGGATTTGTATTTCACTTGAGTGTTCATGTGCCATGTGTGGTGAGATCTATTGTGAGTTATTTTGCATTATTTGTAGTCTACACCTTGCCCGGAATGTGCTTCAAGGCAAAATCATAGACTAGCTTGATTTGAAAAATGATATTAGGACTTCCTTGGACCTCTATTGTGCCTTAAATTTCATACCCTTGAATATTTTCCCTAGTCAACCCATTTTGAGCCTTTAACCTTGTTCTTTGGCAACCATGTTACAAGCTTTAATCCTTTGTTCTTTGTTGATCTAGCTTTTTGCACCCTACCTCCCTAAGTACTTTGAAAGTGTAAACATAGGCTAAAAGCCTAAGTTTGGGGGTGAATGTTAGAAAAGTTGTGATATGGAAGTTGTTTAAAAGGTGGAAGGTAATAATGAAACCTTCCTTGATTTTGAAAAGGAAGCAAGAAAATAATAATAATAAGAAGAAGAAGAAGAAGAAGAAGAAGTTGTGAATAAAGGAAAGATTAGGTGTAGAATGAAAAGTGAAGAAAGGATGGAAAATTTTGAAGGAAGTGGACTTTGATTGTAAATTTTGTAGTGCTTGGGGAGGTTTTGAGTCACTCTAACCAAAATTGTGCCCTACCTTAACCAAAAGCCTAAACTACAACCCTTTAAGTCCTAATTGATTTTGAACCAAGTTGTCTACGTTAGTGGAGAAATACATGAAGGGCAAGCCTATGGTACTATTATGCATTTGAACATCTTTGTGAGAGAAAGTTAATTCTTTCCATTTGATATCCCATTTTTGTTTTGAATTAAGATTTATGCGTGTGGGATTCTCTCTTAAATGTGAGGGCACATGAGATTTGAGTTGTGAATTTAATCCCTTTTTCAATTGGAAGGAATGACCAAAGAAAGTTAATTATGATAAAGAGGCAAATTGTGAAGCTTTAGTGTCATGACTTGATTGCTACTTTGATTTGCATAGTGTTTGAGCACTTGAAATGTAATGAAGTTCATGAGAAGTATTTGGTAATTCATATGCTTTGGATTAATTGTTGGTACCAATCGAAGTCATGCGTTTGTGCTTACAGTAGACCTTTTTGGCTTGACATGATAAGGATGCGTTATTGAGTTAAATACTTGAGAGGAGATTTTGTCTCTTTCATTGCTTGAGGACAAGCAATAGTTTAAGTTTGGGCGTTTGATAAGTTGGTATTTTACCAACTTATCTTGTCTTTCAGCCTATATTTTTGCTATGTTTGAGTGATAAAATCATGTGTTTAATGTTATTTGCCTCTATATTATAGGTTCTATGTGATTTAGAAGTGATATTGAAGAAACCAAGTGAAACGAGTCAAAAAGAAGCTGAAAAGAAGAAAATATGGAAAAGGGCCTCAGTTGTAGCAAATGCGACACATTCCTGGGAATTGCGAAGCAAGCAGTGATGGGAATTGCGAGAAGTTCATCGCAATTGCGAAGAAAGACCATTCATGTTGTGATCGCAAATGCGAAGAAGACTTCACAAATGCGAAGTCAACCAGGCAGTCAACATTCACAAATGTGAAGACCTGATCGCAAATGCGAAGGTCAATAGTTTGGTCATAGTTCGCAACTGCGAACTTTTGTTAGCAAATGCGAAAATCGTGCTTCAGTTATGGGCAATTATGTCATTGCACATATTTTGGCCCCAAACCCTTTAATACCCAAACCAGCTCATTTGTAAAATATCTTTTGGCTTATTTTCATTTTTAGGACTAGAGAGAACAAGGTTGGAATCTAGGGTTTATGCACTTACACTTGGGTTTTGAAGATTTGAAGATTGTGGTTAAGAATTTCTTGCTCCTTTGTTTTCTTCATTTCCTTGCTTTGTAATGAATATCTAAGTGTGTAGTATTGTATTCAACACATGAATCTTGTTTACGGAAATAATCATATTTAAAGTGTGGAATAAATACCTTGTTGTGCTTATGTATTGAATGATTTTTTATCTTTTATGAAGTGAGTTATTGTTATTTTAATTATTCTTGTTCTTTAATGTTTTCAAAGGGATTAGCTAACCCTAGGACTCGCCCATTAACTCCGAATTAATTTTGGGAAAGATTAATTAACAAGAACTTGAGGCTTTAACCCTCATTTTATAAATTCTACCTAGGGATAGGATTGAACTACTTGTATCCATAATCGGGTCTACTTAATCCCTTAATTGTCTTAGGGACAATTCAATTAAGAAGTCTTGTTAGTCTTTGGAAGAAGCTAATATAGAAATAATACCCGAGGCTAATTAACATAAACTCGCTCATATTTGTAAAATTGTGAAATACATTAGATCGTTACTTGAGTGTAATTCCCGATGCATCCATACTTGTAGCCATTGATCATTTTACTTGCTTTCTAGGTTAGTTACCATTTCCGTATTTAGGTATAAATATTTTCTCAAAACAATTCTTAGTTTTTGGCATTGCATAACAAGTGATAATTTTCTTACATTCCTAATCGCCTACATATTGTTCTCTCTGGGATTCGACCCCGACTCATAGTTGGGTAAATTATATTGCATGTGACCATGTCCATTTACTTTTTAGTAGTGGATTTGGACGTCATCACTCATCATGTCTGCCTTTCCGTTTGTCATGTCAATGACTTCACCTGGAACTAACAGAGGCTCTCCATCTTGATCATCCTTGTTGAGTTTCTCACTTGAGGGATAGGACTCGTCAAAGATTATGTGTACACTTTCCTCAACACACTGAGTCCGCTTGTTGTATATCTTGTAGGCTTTGCTTTGAGAAGGGTACCCCAAAAAGATTCCTTAATCACTCTTGGCATCAAATTTTCCAAGCTGATTCTTTCCTTTGTTGAGAACATAACATTTGCACCCAAATGTTCTTAGGTGAGTAAGCTTGGGCTTCCTTCTATTTAGCAACTCATAGGGGTTTTGTTCAAGAGAGACCTGATCATGCACTTGTTCACCAAGTAGCAGGCAGTGTTGACAGCTTTAGCCCAGACGTTCTTAGCAATCCCACTGTCGATCAGCATTGTTCTTCCCATTTCCTCAAGGGTTCTGTTCTTCCTTCCATAACTCCATTTTGTTGGGGAGTGATTGGGGCTGAGAAGTTGTGAGTAATGTCATTCTCGTTACAGAATTCATCAAACTTAGCATTGTCAAACTCTGTTCCATGATCTGATCTAATGCATGCTACTCTTGATTCCATCTTCACTTGGATTTTCTTCACTAATTCTATAAACACTTCAAAGGTTTCATCTTTTGTTCTAAGAAATAGAGTCGAAGTGAATCTAGAGTAGTCATCCACTACCACAAAGATATATTTTTTTCCTCCCCATCTTTGCACTCTCATAGGGCCACATAGATCCATATGAAGGTGATCAAGTGGTTTTGAGGTGATAACATCCTTTTTTGACTTGAATGAGGATTTCACATGCTTCCCTTTAGCGTAGGCATCACAGACTTTGTGTTCTTTAAACTTTGACATGGGCAGACTACAAACCAGGTCCTGCTGAATCAGCTTATTCAGAAAAGGGAAGCTTGCATGCCCCAGTCTTCTGTGCCACAGTTCAGCATCATCATCAACAAATTTTAAGCAACTCAGATCACCACTTTATAGAGACTCCAAATCAGCAACGTAGATCTTTTTTTATCTTTTGGCCACAAATACCACTTCACTAGTTACCAAATTTGTAATTATGCATATCTTGGACAAGAATTCCGCCTTGTTTCCTTTATCACATATCTGAGAGACACTCAAGAGACTGTACTTAAGGCCAGTGGCATAGTATGAATTATCAATTGAGTGAGGAGTGACTTTCCAATTTTTCCAACACCAAGAATGTACCCCTTTTTCCATTTCCAAAGAATACACTTCCTCCTTGTAGGGCTTTTAGTAAAAGAAAGTCCATGGTATTTCGAGTCATGTGTTTTGAGCATCCACTGTCCATGAACCATTGTTGACTGCTTCCTTTCATTGCTCCCTGCACAAGGAGATCACGGGTTAGATTTAGGAACCCAAGCAAGTTTGGGTCGCTTGTAATAAGCAAGAGGATGAATAAGTGCTCTTTTAGTCCATGCAAGTAACATGCGTTCACCCGGTCCATTTTCAGCAGTTACTCTCTCAGCAAAAACTTTGTTTTTCTACAGAGACTGAACCCTGGCTTGGCAATTTTCTTTGAAATGCCCATTGTTCCCACAGTGGGTACACAACCAATTATTGGGTACAGTAACATATTTGCTATGAGGGTTGTAAGGAGTTCTTTCCATTTGAAACCCTATTCCCTGCATGTTACCATCATTATTAACATACATGGCAGTAATAGCCTCCGAGGACCAGGTCCACTTAAGGAACTTCTCAAGATCATTTTTTACTCTTTCTAGTTCTACTTGGAGCTGCCCATTTTTCTCAAGTTCAGCACACAAACTAGTTCTCACAGCAATTAACTCATTTTCAAGCTTAATGTGTGTCTCACTAGCTACCTCTTTCCCTTTTTCAAAATTTCCAGGCCTACACTCAACTTCAAGTTCCTTTATTGTTTCCCATAAGTCTAAAATCACTACTAAAAGGTCATCTCTCTCCTGCTCAATAGCAATCCCTTTCTCTACTAAGGCATCTTTTTCTTTACTGAAATTCTCAATGGTTTCTTTTAAGTCAACAGCTACTACCACCAAATCATCTCTTTCATGTTCTACACTAGCAATTTTTTCAGTTAGAACCACCTTTTAATTTTCCAGATTGCTTATGGTTTCATTTGGATCAACTATACAAACTACCAAATCATCTCTAGTTTGTTCAGCATCTCCTAGCTCTATGGTTAAGGCATCCTTATCATCTAAAAGACTATGATAGGCATCAATAAACACATTTTTGAATGACATGAGTTTTTTAGGAGAGTAAGATTTCAAATTTCTCTGAACCTCCCTGAAGTTTACCTCATCATTGTCAGATTGAGCCATCAAAGCAAATATTGAATCATATTCATTTTCATCACTTTCAACTTCCATCATAGAGCTATCACCTGCATCAGTTTCTTCTTCAGACTCACTGGAGGGATCTCCCCATGCTGCAAGAGCTTACTTCACAACATTGTCAGCAGATCTCTTCCTTTTGAAGCGTTTGTCAGGAATCGGGTTCCTCTTTGTTGCTTTATCAGGGTTGTATTTGAAGTGTTCTTGCATCAGGAGAGGGCAATCTTTGATGAAATGCCCTGGCTTTCCACATTTATGACAAAGGTCATAATTTTTTGGTCTGCTGGAGCTGCCTCTTTTTGGTATCCCTCCATTTCTTCTGACCATCTTCTGAAATCTTTTGGTTAAGTAAGCCATGTCACTGTCCTCCTCACTTGAGTCATTGCTTTCAGCTTTGAGTACCAGGTTCTTTTCCTTCTTTGGTTCTCTTCTTTCATTGTCTATCTTCTTCTTCATTTCATAGGTTTTCAGATTTCCAAGTAACTCATTTATGGTCAGCTCCTGCAAGTCCTTTGCTTCAGTAATAGCATTCACTTTACTCTCCCATGAACTCGACAGGATATTAAGAATTTTCCTCATGAGCTAGTTCCTCGGAAAGATGTCACCAAGCGAGTGTAACTCATTTATGATGGAAGTGAATCTTGTGCGCATGTCTTGAATGGATTCATCGTGTTTTATCCTGAAGAGCTCATACTCAGTGGTAAGCATATCAATCTTAGATTGCTTTACTTGAGTGGTTCCCTCGTGTGTTGTTTCTAGAGCTTCCCATATTTCCTTGGCAGATTGACAAGCTGAGATCCTGTTGTATTCATCGGGTCCTATGCCACACACCAAAATTTTCTTGGCACGAAAGTTTTTCTCCACAGCTTTCCTATTAGCATCGTCGTATTCTTTCCTGGTTTTTGGCATCGTCACTGTAGGGTCTCCGACTTTCTTCGTTGGGACATAAGGACCATCACATATAACATCCCACAACTCGGAATCTTCTGCCATGATAAAGTCATGCATTCTAGTCTTCCACCACCCATAGTATTGCCCATTGAACCTGGGTGGTCTGTACGTAGACTAACCTTCTTAAAAATTTGGTGGAGCAACCATTAGGATCCTTCCTAGGTGTTAACTTGATAGAAAGAACCCGCTCTGATACCAATTTATAGAATATATGAGTCCACCAAATTATATAGAGACCAGGTCCTCTATGAGTTTCCAATGAGAATGCTAATAAAACAGCAGGTAAATAAGACAGGGAGTTATTACGTGGAAAAATCCATGCTCAAGGGAATAAAAAACCACGACCTACACTGATAGGATTTCAACTTCACTATGAGCAACTTTAGATTACAAACTATGCAATCTAGGAATTAAACTCTTAATCCCTTACAAACTTGTAATACACCTATTTCAAGCCACTTTGCAATACACCTATTACAAAGACTTCAACTCATGACTAACTCTAGCCATGACACAAACACTAAGGGTTTATGGTTTTACAAAGGGTTCCTAAGTAACGCTTCTAGATAAGCAAAGTAGGAATTACAATGAAGAATAATTACAAAGTTACAACTCAACTAAGGACATACAAAATACTAGCTCTAGGAACTGGTCCATAGTAGTGTTAAACTTTGTTCTTGATGCACTTGAGAATTGAATGCTTGAATGTCAAATGCTTGCATGCTTTTATGAATTCTCAAGTATTCAAGTGATGTTTTTTTGTAATGTTTAATGTTAACACAATATGGATGACATCACTTGAATGATGTAATCACTTGGAAGGTCAAATGAGAAGTAACTGCAGAACTGTGTTGCACTGTTTCTATGTACAATGCGGGCAGTCAGTTTCCAACTGTAGACAGTTGACTTCGTACTGCTGTCAGGGAAACACAAGGGTAGCAGGTCCCTGTATTGATTTTCTATCTTCTAAAGTCGTAGCAGCTCACATTAGCTGGAGTTTGTTGATTTGAGTTGTGTACCAAGTGTGCCAGGTTCCTTATTTGGTTCTTTGATAGTAAGTTTGTTAGATCATCAAACCATTAAGCTAAGGTATTGTAAACCCATTAGAGTAACTGTGAGGAATGAGTGATCGTGAGGTTGGAGTGAATGGGAGGACAGAGTGATGATTGCCTAATAGACTGTTCATGATTTCATTATTTATGCAAACAGTTGCCCTATATCATTGTTTTGAAAACTTCTGAAAGATATTTCATCCGATTTTTATTTGAACTTGACTTAAACAAACTGATTTGACTTAAATTTCCGGATTGGAAGCATGTCTATTCTTTACTAAAATTTTTGAAATGAACTGTATTTGTATAGCTCGTCACTGCTTCTCAGTTCCTTATTTATTTATGTTACTTACTAAGTTGGAAATACTCACGTTTCTCCCTGGACCTTTTGTGCAGATCCAGGTGTGACCAGACACGGAGGTCTATGAGCTCGTGCATGGTCGATTTCTGAAAATTCACGAGGTACTTGCCGACGTTCGCAGACCTTGTGCTCCTTCCTTATTGCTTTTTCTCTTCTGTATTAACATTTAGACGCGGACTATTGTAAACACTATCTTTTAGATTGAAAGTCTTGTTGCTTGTGACTTAGTGACACCCCGATATTGGGGCTACTATTTCGTACTTGTGTTTTGAGATTTAATTTCTGTTTTCAAAAACTCTGCTTTAGTTATGAACTTTTGATTTACATCTTGTGAAATATTGGAAGTGATTTTTATATGTCGGCTTGCCTAGTATCATTGATAGGTGCCATCACGACAGGTTAGGATTTGGGTCGTGACAAGTTGGTATAATAGCCTAGGATACATAGGTCTCATGAGTCATGAGCAAGTTTAGTAGAATCTTACAAATCAATACGGAGACGTTTGTGCTTATCTTCAAGAGGTTGCATAACCCTTAGAAAACTTCACATTCTTGAATTCTTATCTTGCAAATCTATTGATGCTGGTAACTAAACTTCTGTTATTCTATTCTCTCACGAGATGGTGAGGACACTTGCTACCAGGCAGGACGGACAGCCACCACTACCACCAGTTAGGGCTGCGAGAGGCCGAGGTCGCGATAGAGGTTGTGGTAGGGGTAGGGGTGCAGCCCGCACACCAGCTAGGGTAGCACCGGTAGATCCACCAGTTTCCCCAGTTCAGGTCAGGTCCCAGTTGTGGATGCACCAGCGGGACTAGCCCAAGCACCTGTTGTGTCTATTGTGATTCCAGGCCTTTAGGAGGCCTTAACTCAGATTTTGACCGTGTGCACCAGTCTTGCTCAGGGGGTCTCTTTTCCGGCCATAGCAGCCACTTCTCAGGCCTGGGGAGGCACCCAGACTCTCGCCCCCCCCGTACACTCGAGCAGGTGATGTAGGGACTGTAGACATGTGATTTTTGACCCTCCCCAAGATTTTTCATATTTTAGCATATAAATATTTAATTTAGGCCTAATATCGCTATCTCAACTAATTTTGACTCTTTTACTTTATTTTATTACAAGAAAATTAAAATTTCAAAAAATAGTTTCATTAATGTTTTGTAGTCATTTTTAATCTTAAAAAATACCAAAAATAGTTTTGTTTTAACGGTCAATCTTATTTTATTAGTTACCTCACTTAAGTAGGATTAATTAATAAATGAGATTGTATTTTTAGTCTCGTTCGCGGGGAAAGATAAAATTTGGGCTCAAACAACCCATTTTTAAGCGTAATTTCCGAACCTAACCTATAATTCCCAAGCCCATAAACCCTAGGCCCATACCCCCTAACCTAATATAACCATAAAAGACCTAAAGGGATCAGATTTTTCTATATAGAGCCTAATATCCCTAAGCCAAAAGGAGAACAATAAAGAATACACAAAATATAGACTCTAAGACCTAGGAAGAAAGCTGCAGCGCCGCAGTACGAGACCCCCCCACCCCCACGAGCTCATCTTCTTCATTAGAGCTAACACCTAAAGACCTAGGGACCTAAGACCTAAATCAGACCTACACCTAATACAGAGAACCGGCCATCCCCCATTTTTCTGAGAGCTTTCATCCTTCCAAACTAGAGAGGACATCCCTCCCCTCTATCCCTCGGTTGACATTGTTGTTGCTCCTTCCGCTGCCTGCTGGAATTGATCACCAGCGATGGAAGGCGACCTCCATGACTACCTCATTCCTTATCTCACACACTCCCAAAAAAGAAGATAGACGAGACGACCCCTCCCGCTCCTAAACCAAAGAACCCTAGTAGCCGCTTCTTCTCATTCTTCACTCTCTCAAAACCACACATACGCGCCTAAGCTGCTAGTAACAATTAAAACTTAAAGAGTTAAGATCTGAAATTTTGGGTCACAAAGCTGAGTTCAATCTCAATTCATTTTTACATTTTTGGGGAATTTTCGTGTTTAATGGAGCTGTAAATTATTTCGAGTTGGGAAGGTCGATTTAAACTCAGATTGTTGTTGATTCTACTAAATTTTTCTGAATTCGTGGGTTGCTTGTTCGGATGAGCTCCAATTTTCATAACTTAGCTTCTCTTTGGTTTTTTCCGAGCTAATTCCTGCAAAATCGGTTGTTATTCGAGTTCCAAAAATCCGTTCGAGGTCGGAGATTTCTGGCGAGGTTTTCGGACAGATTTGGGTTCCGTCAAGTTTGTCGTTGAGATTTGCGAGTCCAATTTGGTCCGAATTTGATGTCCGTTTTGCTTTGGGGTTGTGAGGCATATTCATGAATAAAAGTTCAAAAGACAATTTGCTAAAAGGTTCATTCTTATTCTTCTTCAGTATGATTTTCATCAATCTCATCTTTAAGTTGTTTCATATGTGATGTGATTCAAAGCATGATTATTGATATTTTATTCTCTCGATCAGTTATTTCGTTTGCTCCTATCTGTGTCGTGCCCTTTAAGTTGTAAATGGGCGAGCATTGTTTAGTTTATTTTATTTTGAAGATTGATCAATATTGTGGCTACTCTATTAGTTCAGTCATTTGTATTAATTCATGATTTAAATTCTCTGGTTGTTGGTTACGCCCTGCATTGCTAAAGTGGTGGGAGTGAATGAGCGAATTCAATATGGATTAATTTGCAGTAGAATAGTTTTGACTGTGGGAGTTTAACTAGAATTAAATGGTATTAGGTTTAGGCTGATTTGAACCATTAGGCTTGAATTTGACTTATTGGCTAGCTTACCATTTGATCCATAACTGTTAATAACTAAAAAAATGACTTTTAGCCTGTTAATAACTTGTAATGTCGAAACTAGTTTAGAAGAAATATTTCTTAATAATTGCTAGTATACTTTGCGCGCACTTTTAATTAATCAAATCATCGTAATTGTGTACACGTTCGCGTGATATAATTACGATCCTAAAAACAAAATCGGAGTATGCGTCCGCGGAACTTCGGCCAAACTTTCTTAATAATAATAAAGCATTACTAATTGTGGACATGTTCGCGTGACATAATTTCTGACGCGCCAAACAAATGGGTACACGTACGCATGACCCGTTTCAAGGTAATATTTTAAATTAAAAAGCGGTGAAAGGTGAATGCATATAGGTTCTAAAATCAGTAATTAGACAATTCAATAAGCCAAGTAGGATCAAAGAGACTGTGCTAGAACCACAGAACTCGGGAGTGCCTAACACCTTTTCCCGGGTTAACAGAATTCCTTACCCGAATTTTTGTGTTCGCGTACCGTAATTAGAGTCAACCTTCCTCGATTCGGGATTCTAAACCAGTGACTTGGGATACCATAAATTATCCCAAGTGGAAACTCTGATTTTAAAGAAATAATCCCGTTTTGATTGTCACTTAAATTGGAAAAAACTCCTTTATACCCTCCCGGGGGTAGTAAAAAGGAGGTGTGATAGCTCTGGCGACTCTGCTGGGGATAAGAACCCAGAATCTCTGGTTCAGTGTTCAAGAATTTGAGCTTGTTAATATGATTTTTACTTGGCTTCATTTATTGTTAATATTACTGTATTCTTTGAACCTTTTGTGCTAAATGCTATCTATTT